CAGAGGCAGGGCAGGGTGGGATTGCCAGGCCCAGGGCACGGCAGGGATGCTCAGATGCACGGGATACCAACCACACGTATGGGATACAAACAGATACGTAGGAAGCTACCAATCAAACCCTTTGCTTGTAAACCCAACGCACAGAGCGTGGCTCAAACCAGCAGGCTTTGGTCCGGTGCACGGGGTGCATCTGAGCACCACTGAGCGCGCGGGTTTTGTCTCCAACGCAGGGCGCATGGTCAGCTGGATGGAGCAGGATGCGAGCAGCTGAGATACGGCTTGAATGCACCGGTTTGGGTTCAGACACCTGTGGCGTGGCTCAAAGATTTGGGGTATGGCTCAAAGGCATGGGATGCGGCTCAGAGGCATGGAGTATGGCTCGAAGATTTGGGATATATCTCAGAGGCACGGAATATGGCTCAGAGATATGGAATATGGCTCAGAGATATGGAATGCGGCTCAAAGATTTGGAGTATGGCTCAGAGACACAGAGCATGGCTCAGAGACATGGAATATGGCCCAAAGTTTTGGGGTACGGCTCAAAGATTTGAGGTATGGCTCAGAGACAAGGAATGCGGCTCAAAGACGTGGAGTGTGGCTCAAAGGCATGGGGTACGACTCAGAGACGTGGAGCATGGCTCGGAGACACAAGAGTCGTCTTTACAGAGCGCGGCTCCGACGCGTGGAGCACAAGGTTTGGGCGCACACCCACTGAGAACAGCCCCAAGCCCCCGAATTTGGCTCAGCACCTCCCAGAGCCCACAGGTTGGCACAGTGGGGCCGAGACCAGGCACTGCCTTCCTTGGAGGTGCAAACTTCTTTGGAAAGGAGGAGCCAGGCAGCCCTTAGATATCTCTTTTTTTTCCTTTAAAGAACATGAAAGAATCTGATAATTACTTCTATCTACCACCCAACTGTACTAATTACCAACCTATTTCTTCACAGTATGACAGACACAGGCTCTCCAAAACACATAGAGATAAATTAGCACTAATTGGTTTTCCTCTGGCTGTTTGAATTAGTATTTAAAGCTCCAATTACAAAGCAGAATAATTACTATTAATGTCCTGTCGCAGTACAAAAGGCAGATATCTCGCGAACAAGTCCAGGTGTATTATTACACTGATTACTGAATATTTAACCTGGCTCATTAAGACAAAGACTTGGGGAAACTTGGGGGGAAAAAAAAAGAAAAAGGAAAGAAAATGGGGCTGCAGGGCTCAGAATCGGGGGCTGATGCTTCCCCCGAAGAGTGGGGAGTTGGGCAACGATTGGCACCCATTTCTTTACCTGGGTGGGGTGAGGTGCGGGCGGCCCAGCAGTGCCCTCTGCTGCCACCCACCTGGGGACACCACAGGGGACAACACAGCTCACCCCACAGCTCACCCCACAGCTCCCCGAGTGTTGGGTGGAAGCTCAGATCCAAGATCCCGTAGTGCTCCCATAGGATTTTGGGCAAGGTTGGTGCCTTGGTGCCACCACCATCCCACCAATGGGAGTTGGTGAAGGATCTGCCCTCAGTGCCACCATCCCTATGGGGTCACCAATGGGATTTGGTGAAGGATCTGCCCTCAGTGCCACCATCCCTATGGGGTCACCAATGGGATTTGGTGAAGGATCTGTCCTCAGTGCCACCATCCCTATGGGGTCACCAATGGGATTTGGTGAAGGATCTGCCCTCAGTGCCACCATCCCTATGGGGTCACCAATGGGATTTGGTGAAGGATCTGCCCTCAGTGCCACCATCCCTATGGGGCCACCAATGGGATTTGGTGAAGGATCTGCCCTCAGTGCCACCATCCCTATGGGGTCACCAATGGGATTTGGTGAAGGATCTTTCCTCAGTGCCACCACCATCCGTATGGGGTCACCAATGGGATTTGGTGAAGGATCTGCCCTCAGTGCCACCATCATCCCCATGGGGCCACCAATGGGATTTGGTGAAGGATCTTTCCTCAGTGCCACCATCCGTATGGGGCCACCAATGGGATTTGGTGAAGGATCTGCCCTCAGTGCCACCACCATCCCTATGGGGTCACCAATGGGATTTGGTGAAGGATCTGCCCTCAGTGCCACCATCCCTATGGGGTCACCAATGGGATTTGGTGAAGGATCTGCCCTCAGTGCCACCATCCCTATGGGGTCACCAATGGGATTTGGTGAAGGATCTTTCCTCAGTGCCACCACCATCCGTATGGGGCCACCAATGGGATTTGGTGAAGGATCTGCCCTCAGTGCCACCATCCCTATGGGGTCACCAATGGGATTTGGTGAAGGATCTGCCCTCAGTGCCACCACCATCCCTATGGGGCCACAAAAGGGACTTTGTGTGGCACCCCTGGGGCCACCCCTGCAGCTGGGTACCTCCAAGCTCCCAAAGCCCTGAGCACCAGGGTGCGGAGCGACAGGGGGAGGACAGGGAGGGATTTCTTTTTGGGAGATCAGGTGGGAGGCGTGCGGGGATGCCAGCTGGCGATGGGCTGTATTTCTACTGACAAGGCTTTACCCTGTAGGTGTGAGGAATTCCAATTAAATATTCAGCCTATTTGTCTGTGTGTGGGAGAGGGTTTGCTGTGCAGGAGGAAAGCCTCACATTCAGCTCCGTAGTGAACCATTAAGAGAGAAATTAGCTCAGTTCATCAAGGGAAGCCAGCGGAGGGTTTTCCTCGCTCTCCTACCTTGTTCCAGCTTTCGTTTGGAAGCAGAAGGGAAAAAAACAAGGCTGCGGTTTGCAGGAGGAGAAAAAAAGTCCTTTTTTAGGCTGCATCCTCAGCTCGTCCCAATGAGCGATCGATGCACTGGGAGAGGGGTGGGGGGGGGGGGCATGGTGCTCGATGGTTTTAATTGCTCTCACATTTACCGGCCACCTCCTTAATGAGTCGTTTGCAAGGTGCTAATTAATCGCCTCCAACCAAAAGCCTTTGCCTCGGGATGATCTTTTGAAGCCGGCCCTGTAAAAGTTCAGGTGTTATCGATCGAGGGCCCTTTTGGGATTCGCACAGGGGATCGATGGGGCAGCGCCTGCCCACGCGCGGCGATGGGCTCAGAGCCCCCAGTGCTGCGCGCCAGGCATCGTCCCCTGGCCTCCAGTGCCCCACCAGGTTGGTTTCGGGGCTGTTTCCAAACAAAACTCCGACCCGACACGGCAGGAGCCACCGATTTCATCATTTCTGGAACCTGCCGCCCGCGCGAAACGATTTTCCGACTCAGAATATCCGCATTTTAAATAGATCCCAAGGAAACAGCAGGAATAATAACAGTAAAAAAGGACAACTTTTTTCACAAAGCCACAAGCGATGTCCTGCTTCCCTCGCGCACAGCGCCTGCGTTTCGTGGAAGAAAAGTTGTTTGCAATGGGAACCAAGCTGTCATTTCACTCTCTGAGTGACGGGCATCGCTCGGAGAAGGGATTCCAGTTGGGAGCTGCCGAGAGCTGCCTTTAATCAGCCCCAAATCCCCGCTGTAAATTCCAGGTGAGAAATTAATCCCTTCTGTCAACTCCTCCCATGCCATGCGGAGACGGCCACCCCCATGGGGACAATCGGCGCTGGCTCTCTGGATGCGCCACCTCCAACAGGAGCAGAGGACGCTCCCTGCCCACTGCCCCACCTCCAGCGGGGTGCAGAGGGTCCCCCCTTCCTCTTTTTGGGGCGCTCTTTGGCTTTGCTGATGCCTGATGGTGCAGCCGCCCCTCTGTTGGGTTCGAGCATCCCCATGGCGCTCTGCGTGCTCGGACCCAACGATTTCGGCCTCTGGGGCAGCACCTGCAGATTTGGGATCGGGTTTGGTTTTCTCTCTCTCTCTCTCTATACACATTTTTTTTCTCCCTTCCTTTCTTTCAAAGCCCGAAGCCAACGACTCCATAGCAACCCCACAGCTCCCAGGGTCTGACTGCAGCGCTTTGATCGCGCTGTCGCTTCGTTTAAGGCGATACCCCTGTAGGTGTGAGGAACTCCAATTAAGCATTCCGCTGGCTTGCCGTGTGGGGGACAGGCTCTGCAGTGGAGGAGGGAAGCCTCGGTGACTAATCGCTCAGACACCGCGTCTGTGGCACCAGGGGAGGGCAGGCAGAGGGTTTTCCTCCGCCGTGCAGCTGCCTCTGCATTCCCTTTTCGGGAGATGCGCGGCTCCCTCCGGGCTGCGGGGCTTCCAGGCGGAAGCTGGAACGATCCCAAGCATCTCCTGGCACGGCCGGGATCCTCCTGCGGACGGATGCTGCTGCAAAGAGGAAGCAGATTCGGGAGGTTTGGGATGGCTTCGTGCGCTGCTTCGTGGGGTGCTGGGATCCCCTCGTGGCAGGGCAGCAACGGGGGTCTCCGCCGTGCGCATCGTGTCACCCCTGGGCTGAGCAGCCCTGTTTGGGGGGGAATTCCCCCAGGCTTGGACGGGCGGCCCCAAATTTGGATGGACATCCCTGAATGCGGATGAGCAGCCCTGAGTTTGGATGAGCAGCCCTAAATGTTGACTTGTTTCCCCACTTTTGGATGAGCAGCCCCAAATTTGGATGAACGCCTCTAAGTTTTGATGCGCTGACCCGAAGTTGATTGAGCATCCCCAGACTCGGGTAAGCAGCCCTAACTTCGCATGAGCAGCTCCAAATTTGGAGGAGGGGCCCTAAATTCAGGCTTGTTTCACCAAACTCAGACGAGCATCACCAACTTTGGATGAGCATCTCCAAATGTGGATGGCAGCCCCAAATTCAGACACGTTTCCCTAAATTTGAACGAGCGTCCCTGAATTCTGACCAGCAATCCTAAATTTCAGTGAGCGCTCCCAGCTCTGGATGAGCATCACAAATATGAAAAAAGAACCCTAATATTGGATGAGCATCCCCAGATTTGGATGATCAGCTCTAAATTCTGACCAGCAGCCCTAACTTTGGATGACCACCCCCAGCTCTGCATGAGCATCCCAAATGTGCACAAGCAACCCTGACTTTGGATGAGCATCCCAAATTTGGATGAGCAACCCTGACGATGGTTGAGCATCCCAAATTTGGATGAGCATCCCCGAATTCGGATGGCAGCACCAAATTCAAAACGCATTTCCCTAAATTTGAACAAACACCCCTAAATTCTGACCAGCAATCCTAACTTTAGGGGTCCAGCTCTGGATGAACATCCCAAATGTGCACAAGCAACACTGACTTTGCATGAGCTTCTCCAAATTCAGACGAGCATCCCTAATCTTGGATGAGCTTCCCCAAATTTGGATGAGCATCCCTAATTTTGGATGAGTGACCCCGACTTTGGATGAGCATCCCTAATTTTGGAGGAGTGACCCCGACTTTGCATGAGCATCCCAAATTCAGATGATCGCTGACAACTTTGGCCGAGCCCCCCTAAATCCCAACCAGCACCACTCAAGGCAGGCGCGCATCGCTAAGCACCAACACCCGGCCCCTCTCCCCGAATCCTCTCCACCACCACTCCTCTCCAGCCCCATCCACGCGGGGATCCGGCCCCACAGACGCACAACGCCCCATAATCCACCCCAAACCCCACTGCCTTTGGTGAGAGCATCTCCCACTGCCACCACCCCCAGTGCAGGGGAGGCGGTGTGGGCTACGGCCGTGGGCAGCGCAGGACGTGCCGTCCCTCCCCTGCGCTTCCCCACGGTGCTTTACATAACTTCTGCTGCTTAGTCACAGCTTCGCCTCTTTTTTCCTTCTTCTTCTTTTTTTTTTTTTGGAGCGATTTTCTCCGCCGCATCATTTCGGCAGGGAAGTCCCTTCCTCTCTCTGTTCCCGTGGTAACGGCACCGATTCGCCTTCCCGGTGATTCATGGCGGGGTGCAGTAGGAGTTCCCTCCTCCATCCCCGTGCTCCCACACACAGCCCCATTAATCACTGCTCTGCACCGTGGATGGGGGACGGGACCACGGGAATCCCACTGCGCACATCCCATACAGCTCTGTGTGCGTCCTATAGATCTCTATGTGCATCCCACAGATCCCCATGCACATCCTATGTGCCTCCGTGTCCATCCTATAGATGTCCACCTGCATCCTATGGACCTCCACATCCATCCTATAGATCTCCACCTGCATCCTATGGACCTCCATGTCCATCCTATACATCTCCATGCACATCCTATGTACCTCCACGTCCATCCTATAGATCTCCATCCGCATCCCATACATCTCCACCTGCATCCTATATACCTCCACGTCCATCCTATAGATCTCCATGCACATCCTATGTGCCTCCATGTCCATCCTATACATCTCCACCTGCATCCTATGTACCTCTACATCCATCCTATAGATCTCCATGCACATCCTATGTACCTCCACTTCCATCCTATAGATCTCCATCTGCATCCCATACATCTCCATACACCCCAAGCACCTCCACAGGCATCCTGCACATCTCCATGCACATCCCATACACCTCCACATGAATCCTACATGCTCCCACGCACATCCTACACATCTCCATGCACATCCTATGCATCCAATGCAAAGGGTGCCCATGCACGTCCCCTGGGCTCCATACGAAGCTTCCATGTACATTTCATCCCCTATAGAGCTCGATGTCCATATACAACTCATAGCCTGCACACACATAGGGCGTCCCTGCGCCTCCCACCCCGTTACACACATCTCCATGCACCACCCACCCCTACACACACAGGGTCTCCATACGTTTTGTTGCCTATGCACTGGGATCTCCACAGAAGCTTCATGGCTGCATCTCTGCTGGAAAACAAAACCAATCTGCAAACCGTCCCCGTGCCATTCAGGTGTGTTTTACCTGATTTATTCTCTCCTCGTTAAGAGTAGCTAATTAACAAACAACCGTTTGAATAAACAGCAGTGAGAGTGTTTGCAGCCACGCGTTATTGGATGGCGATGAATCATCGGCCTCCGTGTGCTAAATGGAAGAAGAAGCAACCAGGAAATCCCTAAATCCACTTCTACCTGGTGGCAAAGCAGGAGATGGGGCCGCATGTTGGGGTTCCCTGTCCCTGGGACGCCCCCGAGCCGTGCAGCTCCACCAGGAGCACCCAGCACTCCAAGCTCACCCCCATCACCCCAACCAACCCCACATCTCGGCTCCTGGATCGCATCCCAATGAACCACCTCCTCCAGGAGCACCTGGAAGCTGCAGATTGCTCAGGACACCCCAAACAACTCCAGATCTCTGCTGTGGGGCAGCACCAGACCAACAACCCGTGGAAGAAAGGAACGTTCCCAACCACTAAATTCAACCTGAGCAAGAGCAAAGCCGCGGGGCGCAGCCCGGGTGACAGAAACCTCTTTGTCACCATCATAATTGTCTCCCCCTCTGCAGATCCTTGGCAATTTAATGATTGTAATCACAGAGCGCGTGTCTGCCTGCCTGAAAGCAGGGGCTGGGAGAGGATGTGTGGGGCTGAGAGCTGATAGGTAGGGCTGGGGGAAGATGTGCAGGGTTGGGAGCTGATGTGCAGGGTTGGGAGCTGATGTGTACGGCCATGACCTGATGTGTAGGGTTGGAAGCTGATACGCAGGGCTGGGGGGAGATTTGTATGGCTGGGAGCTGATGTGTGGGGCTGGGAAATGATACGTAGGGCTGGGAGCAGAAATGTGGGGTTGGAGCTGATGCGTGGGGCTGGGAGCAGACATGCCCCCATGTTTTCCCCCTTGTCCCAGCCCCAAAATGTTCGCAGCTCTACAAACGCCCCATCCCAGGGTTGCTGCTCCCCAGGGTGCATCAGAGCCACCCTTTGCACTTCCTCATTCTGCAGCTTCCCAGCCAGAGTTGCCTGGCGGTGGCTTAGTGGAGAGGCTGGAAGTGCAATTACCTGAGAGCGTTAATTACAAGGCAGGAGGACAGGAGCCGAGCTGCAGCTCTGGGAACGTCCAGCAACTGCTCGCTCTGGGAGAAACCTGGTGCACGCAAGGAGGCTGCGGGCAAACACACATCCTTGTGCAAAGACCCATCTGTGCAAACACGTCCTTGTGCAAAGGCACGCGAGGGAAAACGCGCCCGTGCAAAGGTGAATGCTTGTGCAAACAGCAGCCCGTGCAAAGCAGCATTCTTGTGCAAAGCTGTGTGCATTTGTGCAAGCGCAGGCACTCATGCAAACACGCTTTCCCCCGCAGGCAGCTCTGCAGGCTCTGCTTTTTCCCACAGCAACGGGAAGGCGGCACTTTGCCCTCACGGTGCCCAGGAAATTACACAGATTAGCAGCTCCATTCTTTGGCGGTTCGGGCCAATCGTGTTCCGGTGCTGTTTTTCCATCAGCACGCAGTTGCTGCTGTCGCTTTGTTCCGGCAGACCCTTGGGCAGCACCGTGCCTTGCAGTCACTCCCGCTGTTGACTGAAGCCTATGTTTAAAGGTAATATAAACAGTTCAAGCTTTAAAATAAGCCGGATCCACCATCCCTACACGGCTCTGCCAAAGCTGGATTTTCCGACAGTGAGCCCCAAAGCCCTTTTCCCTGCGATATTTGCTGATGGTGGCAGTGATTAAAGCCCATCTGCTTGCAGAGCGACAGTGAGTAGAGGTTGACACCCAACTCTGGAGCTGGTGAACACCCGACCTCATCCCCAAAACGAGGCCCCAGGGAGAAAACCCAGCAGAGAAACCATGCTCCAGCAGCAAACCCTCTGCGTGGTTTTCTTTTCCTTCCGCTTTCGTTGTTCTTTTCCTTTTTAATAATTACTAATAAAGCTTTCATTAAAAGGGCAGTGACGCAGACTCGCACTGGGGAACCAAATATTCCAAGTCATCCATTAAATCAGCATTTCTCTCTGCTCTTCCCCTTTCAATTGTTGGGTTTAATAACCAAAAAGTAGAGTGGAACGAGCCTGGGAGAGGCGGAGCAGCACCTCAGCGATCGCTGCTCTGCAATTCCCCATCGCTGCGATGGGAACCAACGGGGAGCAACGCCGAGGCCCCAGCCCTGAAATTCCCCATGGCTGCCACGAGGGCCAACAGATTTGGCTGTTCCTCCAACCACTGCATCGCTGCCCATCAAATCCCCATTGCTGCCCATGGGGGCAGGAATTGGATCCTGCCGGTCCCCGCAGCTCCAAGCCCTGATGCTCTGCCTCTCCCCAGAGGAGCATTCCTCCGCTGGCAGCTCCCTGGGGCAGCTTTCCCACACCCACCTCTTCCCGCAGGCAGAGCTCGCATACCCAAAACCTGATTTAGTTTATATATATATATATATATATGCAGACTTTTTTTTTTTTCCTGCTAGAACCCAACCAAAAATCTTCTCCTTCCATATTCTATTTAGAATCATCTCATAGAACACCCTCACTTGGAAAGGGCCCCTAAGGATCATTGAGTCCGACTCCCAAATTCGCCTCCACGCCGACTGCGCCCCGCTCTGCCCTGTGCTCCCCGGCCACCACAGCCCTCGCTTCCCCAGCACAGCCGTGGTTCCATCCATGGCTCTGCACCAGCTCAGTTCTGGCACTGCGCAAGGACAAAAGTTTCCTTCTGGGTTCTTCCTTCAGGCTGGGGACAGGGTTGGGGACAGGGCTGGGAACCCTGTTGGGGTGCGGGGATGTGAGAACCCGCGGCGGCTCCTCCCCAGCCTGTTGTCATATGGGAAAAAAAACAACCCTCAAATTTTAAGGTTAATAAAGCCCTTGTTTGCTTAAGATAGCACCTGTTTCTATGGTGACACTTGCAACCCAGAACCTGTTTATCAGAGCGGTGACAAACGCAGGCGCGGGAGGGGGCCGTGGTGGCACTGGGACGTTCAGCAGCGATGGCGGCGCAGTGACCCCAGCGCCGACCCTCAGCCCACCCTACCAACACAACCCAACCTTCCCCGAAGGCGGGAACCAACTCCGAGCGCGGGGCCGACGGCTCCCATCACCCTTTCCCAACCTGTTGGCTGACGTCGCGGCCCCGACCGCTGCGCCCACCTCCACTCTGCTCTGCGCCTCAGTTTCCCCTCCATCCCCCCATCAGGACACGGCCGGGGCAGCGCCCAGCCCCGCTCCGCCCCATCTCAACGCAGGGTCTGGTGGCTGCCAGCACCCGTTTCCATAACGACTTTCTGCTACAAACATATTTGGATAAAAATAAAGTTCAAGCGGCGACGCTGCGGCGGAGCACAAATCTGCAGCTCCCGAGGAGGGGGGAAAGCCGGAACGCTCTCCTTCCCCTGGGCAGGATTTTCTGCCTTCCTTTGCTGCTCACGGAATGGCAATCCGTGTTTACTGGGTGGCTCCGCCGCCCGGCCCCGGCTCCTCACCGCTACCTGATGCTCCGCGTTGCACGCGGGATGATGCGATAAATTCATTTCCAACTCGCTGCAATCTCCTTTGAATATTTTAATGACTCATTGAATGGAGTTTAAAAAAAAAAAGAGAAAGAGAGAGAGAGAGAAAAAAAAAAAAAGGCGATTTCAAATGAACAATTATGCTGCATTAGAGTAAAGGCTGATTATATTTAAACACTGCTTGCACGGATAACGGGACATATCGACCTCCGCCTATAAGAGCTAATTTGGCTCTTATCTCTAAATAATTTTACACTGCAAATTACCATGAAAACCTAAAGGGCTTTAAAAACATTCATCAAAAGATATTATTCCACTTTGTAGCAACGTTTTTATTTAAATTATTTTGAATGGGAGTGAAAGCATCTCCGCAGCGCCTGACGAGCGGAGCGGCGGCGCCGCCGTTGGCGACCGGGAGCAGCGGATGGCAGCCGGTGGGATGGGGAGCTCCAACCCCAACGCTGCCTTTCGGGACACCGACCCCAAACCACCGCTGTGCTTTTTGGTTTTTTATTTGTTCCACGTCAGAACGGGTCCCCGGCCTCGGTGGCGAGTTGGGGCGCCGTGGTTTGAGTGCAGGGTTCCCAAATCTGGGTTCCAGGAGGGCCGCTCCGTGCCTACGGGAGGAAGACGCCTCCGGGGAGGGACTCCCAATGGCGAGCCCATGGGTGTGGGTGCAGAGATGCCCTATAACTTGGTGTCCTTCCATGCACGTGTGCACAATGCATGTAAGGCGTTGTGTCCCTGCACCCACGGCGCAGCGCTGGAGCTGAACAACTGCGGCTGGGGCCGACGGAGACGCGAAACCGACCCCCAAATTCACCTTTTCTCCCCCAGAGCCGCTGTGCTGCTGTCAGAGCTCCCTCCTCCCATCCTGCCGAGGAGATTTCCAACCTCAGCCCTGATTTGCTCAAGAAAAACGCAGCGCCTTCCGCGCGTTCGGCTGTAAATCCCCCCATCTCTGCTCCGACGATCGCGCGCTCAAAAAAATGAAAAAAAAAAGGGACAAAAAAAAAAAAAAAAAGACAAGAAAACCACAATAATTAGCAATAACGAACGCCTCAGAAGGAGCCGCGTGCAGAAGGGAAAACAAGAGCTCCAGCTTTTTTTTTTTTTTTTTTTTTGCGTTTAGTAAATATTAAAATTAATGAGAGACTTCCAAGACCCTGTTGTTAGAAATGCAGAAGGGCTTCTGTGAAGGATTATATATAAAAAAAATAAGAAAAAAATCACGAAAAGAAAGGCCTTGTGCACAAATCCCTGCAATTATTCCCAATGCTTTATGGTTGGGTTGGTTTTTTTTTTCTTCTTTTATTTTTCTTTTTTTTTTTTTCCAGCCAATTATGAAATTCGCAGAAAATATTAATATCTAATTTTAATTTGCTCAATATTCCCATTAACCATAAAAAAAAGCCTAATTAAGGTATCTGTACAAAAAGCCCTCAGCAGTAATTTTGGAGAATAATAGCAGAGAATGACGAGATATTTCTTGTTAAATGCGCGCCGCAAATTAATTGATATCTTAATTAGACTTCAGATTACGAGTTAGATTGATTCAGAGCTGAAACGCCGCATCTTCTAGGAGATAAGAGGAGGAGTGGGAGCACGGATTCACCCAAAGCCCTCAGGAAGCAAAGTGGCGACAGAAGGGCCCCCATCCGCTGCGTGGTGCTGGGCGCAAAGGGAAAATAGGGGATTCTGCACCAAAAATTGGGGAAAAGGAGAGATTTTGCACCAAAGCTGCTGGTTTTTTTCCCCCTCCCTTCAAGATTTTCACCAAAACTGATGTGGTTTTTCTTTTTCCCCCCTTCCTCTCCCAAAATAAGCTGACGACGAGAGCTCTCGCGAGATGGAGCGCAGGGAGAGCTGTGGGTGCGGAGTCTGCATGCAGCATCTTTTTTTTCTGCGTGTCTTTAGGAAAGAGTGGGAAAAAAAAAAGAAAGAGAAAAGAGGGGGAAAAAAAAAGCAGCAATATTTTAATCCCAGCCTCCCTGCGTTCGGAGTCAGGAAGCGCTGCCCTCCACGCACACCGAGCGCCGTTCGCGTTTCTCCCCCTTGGGGTTTCAGCCCCGCAATGAACGGCGCCCCACTGCGTGCAGCCGTGGGGCCGTGGCCGCCCTCCCACCTGGGGGCACTCAGACACTCACAGGGACGTCGGTGAGCAGCCAATGCCTCCAGAAGCGGCGCCGGGGGTCGGCTCTGCTGGGGGCGTCGGGGTCCACCAGCATCACCACGTACTTCTTGCTCTGCGAGAGAGGAGAGAAATGGGGGGCATGGGGTTGAATGAGCGAGGAGCAGCCTGCCCTGCATGGCTGCTTGTCACCCTTCCCTACCCTTGTCACCCTTCCCTATGCATGCACGAGCCAGGAGAATGCGGGGCAGGGGGAACAACAAGGAGGGGAACGCGCGGCACGCAGACCCACAGGATGGCCCCAAAGTCTCCAAAAGGCTCCGTGGAAGGAGAAGGGTGTTTGGGTGTGCATCCAAATAAATGCATTCAGGATTTCCCCCCGGCCCTGTAACACAGCACAGGGCTTTCTGCGCTCCTGCAATAGGATGCCAGCGCATTTCCTGAAAGCAGTGCCTGGCTGTGGGCACCCTCGGGGGTGCTGGTCCCTGTACGAGGGCACCCAGAGCACCAGGGTGCCACCAGTGCAGGGATTTGGGGCCCTGCAGGTTTGAAGTGACCTCTGGAGGTTTGTGGGAGGAAAATCTGATCTGTAAGGATTTGGCAGGACCTCAGGAGAGGGATTATCCTGCAAGCAGACAGATGAAGAGACCTCTCCTAACCAGACCTCCAGGTGCAACCTCTAGGGGCAGGGATTTCAGGGAACCGCCGCAGGATTGAGTCACAAGTTCTCATCCATGGAGCCAGAGCTCCCTATCTAAATCCCCCAGTGCCTTGGGAAACGGGCAGGGGTTGCACAGTGGGATCGTGGCCCTGCAGACAGCACCTCCGCTCCGTTCCCAAACCATGCTCCTGGTGCCCCCCACTCACCGTGCCCCCAAAGCCCCGCACGGCTCGGCCCTCGGTGCAAACCACAAAGCGCCGCCGCCACCCAACGAGCCATTCCAACAGCAAACCGTGGATTTACACCCACTGAGCCAAGAGCTTGCAATCCTGCGCTGATGCAACCTGCCCCAGAGCAAAGCGCCGTGCCTTAATCCCAGCTCGGTTCACCGCAATCGCTTTGCAACGGGTTTACGCCGAGCGTGCAGATGCGCACCCCCAAAAAATGGGTCACTGTGGGATGGAGACGGGGACACGGCGCTCACAGCTGCAGCGGCGCCCGGAGCACCGCGGAGGAGCGGAAATATTTTCGTGTCGGTGCCGAAAACGGGAAGGAGGAGGGATTGGGGAGGGAGAAGGGGGAGAGAAAAAAAGCCCAACAACCCCAAAACCCCGCTCGGCAAGTGTGAAGGAATTTGAGCTCTAACTTTAGGGAGGGTGCAGCGCTGAGCGCGGCGCTTCTGAAGCTCTCGTTTCTCCTTCGGAGCCCAGCTGGTGGGAACAGAACGTGTAGTCATGGGACTGTCATCGTGTGCTGTCCAGGTTAACATGTAGCATTTCTATTACTATTAACAGACTTTCTGCTCCTCGCTCCATCTGTTCTTCGAAATAATTGCAGTTGTACAGACCATGCCTTCGCTGCA